GTGGGGAAATAAAAGAAGGAAGAGAGTGGTTTAATGAGAAGGTTATTGCTGTGGACAACCAAGGACCCAGGCTGGTGGAGAGTCTCTTAGAAATCATTTGCCACATAACTCAGAGTTGTCACAGTCAGCAAGAAAGCTGAGGTGTACATCCAAAAATCCTCTTTGCTTGTGCATATCTCTATTGTAAATGGGAAAGCTCTTACTAGTTCGTACTCTAATGTTTAGTTAAATTATGTATCTCTTCCTTGAACTTAAAAGCCTTGAGGGCGTGTCATTGCCACTTTTAATTTCTCCAGAACCTATCTCAAGACTTGACACATGGTAGGAAATCCATATATGTTTGTTGACTCAGTTAATAAGGAATACAATTTTTAGATTTCTAAAACACTACCAGCATGCAGTTGCAAGATTCTCATGTGTTGTGTACAGAGCACAGTTTAGAGAAGAAAAAAACATATGTAGTATAAAATAAATTGTGAGCTGTGTAAATTTATTGCACACTAAATCACCAAAGCTAACACTATAGGGGGACCGAGAATAAACCACATTTGTTTCTAGGAATCTTATAAAATTATATATGTCTTTCTGTTCACTATTTTTATATTTATTAAAACACTGATTTTTTTAATCAGATAAACTGTTTAAACAAATAGGATTATTCTCTGCCTATTTTCCAATAGAAAATGTTCATTGTTCATAGGGAACAAATTAACTCACCTCAGGTCTAATCAGAAGGCAGAAGGATTTCCCTTACTTTCTGTTGCAAAACATGATCACAGTAATTCAGGTGTTTTACTACAGTAGCTAATATTGGACCAAATGGATTAGATTGTTGTTTTGCCTACAAGTGTCAGTCACATGAACCAAAATACTTTACCGGCTGAGCAATCGATTTGGCATAAATCAAAGTATTAACTTTTTTTTTTTTTTTGGCCATGCGGCTTAGTTCCCTAAACAGGGGTAGAACCTGGGCCCTCAAGCAGTGAAAGCGCAGAGTCCTAACCACTGAACCGCCAGGGAATTACTAACTTCAAGGTAAATTTTAACACCATTTATAATTTAGTTGTCTAGTATGTAGTTACATTATCACCATAGCTCTGGGATTTTATTTATACTTATATTTAAATTGTGATAAAATTTATAAACTGATTAAAAGTTGTGAACAAAATTTCAGAAATGTGGATGCTCAGCTCTCAGATGTTAAGCATTAACACTCTTGTCTCATGAACCTGCCATATTCTAGTCACTTGACAAACACCAACAACTTAAAGAGTTCTAGTGCACCTTCCAAATCCTGTCTGTCTAAGATGTTAAGTCTTGGGATTCGTTGTGGTTTACAATTTCAGTACTTTTAAAAATGGAATTTGATCAGAATATTTTCTTAAAGGAATGATATGATGGTTCTGAAATAGAACTTATTTTAAATAACAGCTATAAAATTAAATCACAGCATAGTGCTTATGGTATCCAATAGTCGACCTCTTTTTAATATTCTAAGGTAGTTTTTTAATGTTGCTGACTTTAGCTTTGATCTGCTACAGAGGTTGAAGAATACCAGTAAAGGCAATAGTAAGTAAACATTTTTACAATAGTTATGTTATAAATATGTTTAAATAAAAACATATATATAAATATGCTTATATATAAAACATTTATATGTATACTTATATATTTACATATAAATAATATATTAAACATATATATAATATTACACATGATATATTATATTATATTGCATAATAATATAACATTATATAATATATAATATATAACATAATATGTATATAATACATTATATTAAAAATAATATATATTATTATATACTATAATAATATATTATAATATATAATAATATAATATATTATACAATTTAATTTAATAATAATGGGTGATATACTATATATTATATAGTATAATACATACTATATATAATATATTATATTACATCTTATAATATAATATTGGGTTGGCCAAAAAGTTCATTCTGTTTTTTCTGCAACATCTTCTATATTATATAATAATTAGTAATGTATTATGTTATATATAATATATTATATAAAATATATATCATATGCATTATATTCATAACATATTAAGTATATTAAATATATTATTATATTTCTATATAATACATAATTTATAATATTATTATAAATAATATAATATAAATTATAAGGATATTTTATGATATTTTTAATATATTATATACTTATAATATATATTATATTATAATATATTAACTATATTATAATAATATAACATATATCATTATATAATATGCTGTATAATATAACATATATTGTTTTTTAATATCATTGTATATTATTTTATATAATATGACATATATTATATATAATATATTATATTATTATAGTATAATTATATTTATGATTATATATAATATATTATATTATAATATATTATATTTATAATTATATAAATATATGTTATTTATATCTTATTATAAATATTATAAATTATAATACATAATATATTATATTACATGACATCTATTATATATTATATAATATATTATATAATATAACATAGATTTTACATTATATAAAATACATGTTATATATATTTTATATATAATATGTAGTATAATATATAATATATTGTATTATAATATATATTAATATATTATATATTCACATATATAATATATCATTTTATTATATGTTATATACAATATATATTAAATACTAATATATTCTATATATAAGATATATAAATGATATATATTGATATATAAATTATGATTAATAATTATATTTGATATATAAATATAATGATATATAAATTATATATCAAAATGATATATAAATTAATATATGCAAAATTATTATAATTACATTATTATATTATATACTATTATGTATTATGTATAATAATATGATATATTTATATATTTATAATATATAAATATATATTTATATATAAGTATACATATATATGTTTATATATATAAAACTTTTTTACAGTAGTTATGTTATAAATATATTTATATATAAACATATATATGTTTATATATAAAACATTTATATACGTTTATATATAAAACATATGTTTATATATATAAAACAAAATATTTTAGAAATTATGTGCACTCCAGCAATACTTTGTGCTGAATAATAATTAAAAATGAATAAACAGAAGATTCACTGTGCCCACATGCCACTCTACCCAAAGCACTGCTTTGAAGAGTCATAACCTCTGAAGCCTTTTGTAGAATGATGACGTTCCAAGAAAAAAAGTGATTTTGCTCACGTACTATGGCACAGTGTAAATTGTCCCTAAGCTATTTTTGTGAGTGCTCTGGAGTTCAGCAATCTTATTAATGTTTGCTAGGAGACAAGAAGCTTTTATGATATCTCCAAACTTACTTTCCCCTAATCCCGCAACAGGAAATTAATCTTACAAGATTATATATATTTATTAAATTCATTTATGAATTGAAAATGAATTATTAAAATATCATTTGAAAAAACATGCCTATCTTGTAGAAAATTATCTCTGGTGAAAATGGAGGCGGTTTTATTCATATTGAGGAAATATACTGCTGCTCCTCAAGAAACATTTGTCTATTACTTATATTCTTAGAATATATTAGTAGCATAGGTAAAGCATCATGGAATAATTCTGTGGAGTAAATTAGCTCTTCCCCTGCTATTGACTATTTTTTCAAAAATTTCACTTTCAATCTTTGTTAAAAAGAATAGTATTCTATTATCTACTTCATAATTACTGTGGTTTTCATGACGTTGGCGCTCCCCTCATGTTTTGTTTTAGCTCTATGTTTCTGCCTCATTCCTGGAAACATTTACTCATATGCTTTATACAACTGTGTTATATGCTTTATAGAGCCCATGTCAATTTTTCAAAAATAATTACTAATGGATTTCCAGATTCTAGTTCTAATCCCTCAGAAGGCCCAGAAGTTTCTGCCAGTTACACAGGTTCACGGACTTGCCTCTACGTATCATTATTGAAGATTACCTTATATCCTCAGGAAATCTTCGAGGATTTGTAGAAACAAAGGGGAAATTACTTTGACTAAGACAACGAATGAAAGAATACAGTCTAAATTGGCCTTTTTTGGACAGAAGATTAAATGAGCATTGTCCTTATCTTTAAAGGACTCCTAGTAAAGCCAGTAACAAGGAAAGAGATATAAACACATAAGTAATTATTAGAAAATAAATAGCTGCTTTTTTATATATATATTATGTTTATGACACATTCCAGTTATGCCAAAAATCGACCATGGGCTAATTTTATGGCAGAAGCACTCCTGCTGAAGATGGTAATAGCTTTTGCATAGCCCACAATACAGGAGCAGCAAACATTTACTCAGAGATCCTGCAAATTAACCAGACCTCTTCCAGTTACAACTGAAGAGATCTCAATCAAGCATCTTTAATGATAATAAATTAAGTTATTGTTTGATATGACCCAAGAAGCCAGAAGCAGCCTGGTTTCAAGTGTGACTGGGTCCAGGGGCTCCAATGATGTCCTTTGATCTGCCCATTCTCTGTCTCTTACATGGGATCCCTCTTATTGTACAAAGTAGCCACCAGAGTCACATGATATTAGTTTAGCAATCTAAGCAGAGAGAAGTGATGCTCCATGGGAAAAGATATAGTGAAGCATTTGATTACTGTAGATTGAACCTATGCCCATTTCTAACTACTGCTGTTGTTAGGAACACTACATGGAGAAAATTATTCAGGAAAGAAAGACTGTTAACAAAGAATAAGAGAGGATTTCTGAAAGAACTTAGTTTTAAAAAGAACCAAAGTTACAAAGTCTCTCCTTTCCCCCCATGCTATTCAGGTTAACTTTTTATATTATTTCCCCAGTATGTTTATACATCTGAGTTTGGAATCAGATATTCCCCCATATATAGATCTTTCTCTCACCCATTCTTAAGAAGCTACCAGCCTATATGGACAAAACAAACAATGAGATCAAACATTAAAACAAATATAAGCCCTTACCTTCTCTGCAAATGCAATAATGATTTCCATCTACCAAAGTCAAGCATGTTGAATTGTTTTGGCAAGGATCACTGAGTGGATCGCAGGGGTTATAGCGTTGATGGCAAAATTTTCCAGTATAAAAGGGTGGGCACAGGCACACAAATTGCCCAGGGATGGAAGATTCATGACAAAGACCTCCATTCATGCATGGGTCAGAGTCACATTCATTTATTTCTTCACTACAATTCTGTCCAGTCCATCCAGATGTACAGTCACAGCTGAAACGAATATTTAAGAAATATGAACCATACTATTTCAAATTCATTCTTCACATTTTCAATGTAATGACTACATTGAACGAATGTGTGGCATTTTCTCATTTATAACAAGATTAATAAATTACACATATTTTAAAATATTGTTTGCCTAATTTCCGGAGACAATTTAATGTATGTTACTGCCAAACTGACTTTATTGGCTGATAGAGATTTAAGAAGCATTTGGTAAATTTCTAACATAGGCCACTGAGACGTATCTGAGAACAACAAGGCTGCCAATTGCAATTTTAGCAACTGTTGAGCTGAAATAACAATTGAGAACATTTCCTCAAGTATTTCTTTTATGTAAAATAATTTTCACAGATGGGATCACTATTTATAAGCCTAAGATGATATTTAATTCAATTGCTTTAACAATGTGTGATTCTTCAAATCACCAGAGTATTTATCACAAGGTGATACTTTATGTTAAGCAGCTGTTTTTGTTTCAGTTTTTGTAAGCTTTAAAAAACATCTTTTCTATTAATATTTGAATAATGTAGGAAAATTGAAGAGAAAGCAAACAAAAAAGTAAAGAATTTGGATGTTTGTCTATATATCACAGACTCTAGCTCAGTCTCTCTCAAATTTCTCTTGGAAATTTTGATTTCAAAAGCACTTTAGCCAAACATTTTCCATCAAGCTAGGCTAGTTCTGCTCCTAAGAGCAGGAGGATTCTAACAGTGTAGGAAAAAGGGTTTTCCACATGAAGTATTATTCAAATAAGGTAAATGAACAGATAATAATGAAACCTGCAGACACAGAGTCAATGCAAGTATTGTCGATCTACTGACTGAATGGACATCAATTTTACACTGAGGGCAGGTTCAGCGAGAGAGCAGGTGTCAGTCTGTGGGCAGGTAGAGCCCCAAATTGTGAGTAAATGTACCATCGACAAGTAGCACAAGGTACAGGAGGTACTAGAAGAACTGTTTTTAGAGAAAAAAATTTCTGTTGCTGATAGTTTAGATAGTTAAGATAACTTTAAAAAAGTATTACATTGCTGAAAGATCTAATTTGTTCATGATAAGCAATATCTTGCTTAAAAGAAAGAGGAGAGGAGAGGAGGGGAGAGAGAGGAGGAGGAAGGAAGGAAGGAAGCAAGGTAGGAAAGAAAGGAGGGAGGGAGGAAAGAAAGAAGAAAGAAAGAAAGAAAGAAAGAAAGAAAGAAAGAAAGAAAGAAAGAAAGAAAGAAAGAAAGAAAGAAAGAAAAAAAAAAAAAGAAAGAAAGAAAGAAAGAAAGAAAGAAAGAAAGAAAAAGAAAGAAAGAAAGAAAGAGTAAGGGAAAGAAAGAACCTCATGTTTAGACCATTCCATATTAATAAATACAGAAGATACCAGTACAGTGAGAGGAGAGAGCTGAATGACTGGCTTGCACCTGTTCATGAGGTTGAATTCTAGATAGATATAGTTGCCATTGAAACGAATACTAAAATTAATAGGGGGTAATATGATTGGAGTCATAATTGATTAATAATATGTCTACTAGTTCAATAAGATTAAATCCAATCTAAAAAAAAAAAAAAAAAAAAAAAGAGTTGTAAACTTTTTTTTTTTTTTTTAATTTGGTAATGTGCAGAAAGAGATTGCTACCATGCAAACTGAATATTTCTTTGTAAGGTATGTTTGCATAAGGCAAACTTTACAACTGAAACAATTCATACCTTTGAAATATAAATATATATTTTGAATATGTTATTTCCCTTAAGAATGAGTAAAAATAATTGATACTTTCATTTTACTTTCTAAAAAAATAATGACATTATTTTGGTGACTATCCATCCTCGTTTCCCTAGACAGTCCTGGCTTAGGCCTATTGTTAAATATAATTATTTACAGGGTACCCTTTCACTTACAAAAGTGTCTCAGGTGCTCTTCTGTTCATCTTTGATTATCTCCTATATCACTTAGTAAAACTGAAAAATTTCCAGAAAAGGCAATACTATCACTTACTTGCTAATCCTGCACCTGCCTTCACTTGCTCTAAAATGTGTTTGCCACACCCTTTAAGAATTCATCACATATATTACCTTGTATTATGAACATTTGCATGACTTTCCTCCACTATTAAGCTCTGATTCCTTTATGTGTAAGAATTGTCTGAATCTCCATACTCTCATGTATATAATATATGTTGAAAATATTATAAATATTAATTAATATAAGGTCTTTAGTTAGAATCATATAGACGAGCTTAATGAATTTGATAATCTCAGCAAATTGTTGTAAAGATTAAATGAGATAATGAATAAAAAGTGTATATAGATCCTGACATCAACATTGCCCCGTTACCCAAAGTGGTTACGAGGTGCTGTCACAGAATTTAAAAAAAACATTTTTTACCCTATTTATGCCTAAATAAAATATGCATCTCAAAAATGAGTATTGCTTCAATTTCTAGTGCTAATTTTCATTTTTCAAATTACATCCTATTTGTCACAACTGTCAAATATATTACACAATGTGATACTTCCAATAAAACTTTGAAATTAGTAGAACTATTCTTACTCTCACTATACAAATGAGATGGCTTGAAGTACAAAGGATACAAGTGATTTATCCAAAGTCATATGGTCATATGGTTAACAAACTTGAGCTCTGAAAGCCAGACATCTTCCTCCCAGTTTCCCTCTTTTTGTTTGCAGGTTTCAAATCCATTATAAGGTCATTCAACATTTTGTGAAATAACATTAAAGTTAGGCATAACCAAATCTCAATAAAGTAGCTTCAGTGCATTTATTTTACTTGAAATTACTTTTAAGGGGGTGTTGCAGAGATATTTGTTTTTCTTTTCCTTGTATTCATTCATGAGTACATAATTGCAACTTAATTATTTTAAAAGAGTTCCCTGTGTATAACCTTCAATGCTTAAATATTTAGCATATGAACTGAAGGTTTGTTTTATCTTCTCAAATTACAGGTGGCCAAGACTTCATGTGGTGTCCTTATGAGGATCGAGGCGAGGCTTTGGTGCATCAACAGAATTGATGAGGCCAAAGCCTATGTAGGTTAGTGGATATATTGTAGAAAATAAGGTTCCAAGGAACGAAGTCATTACTAGTAATTAAAAATCAGACTATACATTTATATATTTGAATCTGCTTTTGAACATACCAGAGAAGCTAGTCCTTGGTGGATGGAAAAATATATTTTATGTGAAAGCTTCAATCTGGTTCCTAGGTATACCATGAAATAATTTAAGGATTCAGTATGATCTGGCAGGATATTTCAAACGCACAGCTAGGGCCAGAGTCTTTATGGATTAAAAAAACAACTAAACAAAAACACATACTCTATGACTTTTCAAATATACAATTTCCAGTAGTAAATATTTGAAAACTAATTTAGTGTGTACTTAATGGTAGACTAATATATTATAATTTGCTGTCTTTCCTAGAGAGAGAACCAAAAATCCACTGGCATAAACACATTGGATTCCTTCTAAGTAAGAACAGCATTTCAATTCTTAAATATTGATTTAAAGAACCAAAGCTAATAATAGAAAATAAAGTAGTGTCATTGTAATGAAATAGGAAAAAAAAGAGTATTCATGAAAGAAATAAATTAGCTTAAAATGTTTTAGTAGATTCCAGCTTCTGAATATTTACCATTCTGCATGCTTACCTTACCATAAATATTGATATCCAGTGACTAAATATTGTTCAGCAATATTTATCTATGTTTTACACAGGTATACCAGGTTTTAAGGCTACAATCTTATAAATACAAATCTAAAAATATATGTAATTTAAAAGGATCTTTTCGTATAAAAACTAGTTCACTTATTGTTTGTTACAGCCATTACTTATATGCAAAATAAAATTCCAAACAAAACTAGCAGGTGAAAAAGAAATGATAAGACTGTGAATAATAAAATAGCACTATTACTAGAAAAAGGAAGAAATAAAAAGTATGGGCTACTCAACTAAGTCATTCAATCTTTATTTTTTTGCTATATCCATTCGCCTGTTTGTTCATTCATTTAATTATAGCATCAGCGGTACCATCAACAAAACTATATTAATAATGAATCTTAAGATGGTCACTACTGTTGACTTAACCACTGCAATTATCTTGGAAAAAACTGGGAAAGCATTTAGCTTATTCAGATTGGTAACATTTATTTCAAATAAACTATTTTATTGGTAAACATTAAAGTTAGAAAACAGGATAAAGTCTACTTTGAAGAACAACATGAAAATGTTAAGATGTAAAAACATACGAGTGAGACAGTCTGGGACCTGGGACCCTTTGTTGCAGTGCTTGCACCTGGACAAAAGTCTCCTCAAGCAACAAAATACAAAGAAACTATAAGCAACTAAAAATAACTGCATTCATGTGCAGTGGGAGAAATTATGAACAAGAAGATACAAAAAGACCAAAAACCAACTGCCACTCCCGAGGTGTCTGGAGCAAAAGCAAGTACTGCGCATGGCCCTTGCACTGAGGGGTGGACACACCACCTAAGCCGCCCCTCGGCCCAACCCACAGATCCGCCCCCACCCCTACCCCATTTAAGTGACTGGTTCGTCCCCCTCAGGGAGTGAGGACACCTGTTACTTGTTTTTGCCGCAGTAGAGTCCCAGTAAAGCCTCACCTGTCCTCTTATCAATTTCTATTGATAAAGAGTGCAAGGACCCGAGCTGGTAACAGGAGATTGTTATGGGTGGAATGAATAGAGGGAGCTGGCCTAAAACGTTACAGCAGGGCAAGGTTGAAAAAAACAGCAACAGCAATGCTGAAACTTTTTTTGCATCCTACCCTAGAAGATATTTAAGCTTTTATTGTTGTTTTTCAGTACCATAGTAACACAATCAGATTGTTACAGAGTAGAAAATGGACTAAATTAGGAAGAGGTTGGTGGCATGAAAATCTTTTAGGAAGCTATTGTTTTATTGCTGATAAAAGATGACAAGAACCTAAACAATGGCATTAATAAGGTATACCAGATTTGAAGTAGA